AACTCAAAAAGAAAAAAAAAAAAATTCACAGTGACCTTCAGGCATGCATGTGCGTGCGCGCGCGCACACACACACACACACACACACACACACAGTGAGACTCCAACTCAAAAAGAAAAAAAAAAAATCACAGTGACCCTCAGGCATGCATGTGCACGTGTACACACACGTACACACACACACTCTGGAGGCATATACAGAAACCGCAGAGGTAGTGTTGTTCGCCTCAAAGCATCTGTGTCTCATGTGGGGTCTTGCCCCAGTGAACTGTAGGACCTTGGGTGAGCCTATTTCCTCACCTGTGCAGGCAGTTGTTAACACTCTCCCCTTGCACACTTGCAGGGGGAGTCAGCGGCTCTTGTGTGTGAAGTACTTAGCCTGACCCAGGGGACCTGTGACACGCAGGGGGCTCACATGGGGGGTGAACTGGGGGGAAGCGCCACCCTGAGGGAGCCGAGGGAGTGACAAGGAAGGGAACATGGGAGGGTGTGGTGACCCAGAGCAGGTGGGGCTGCATCTTGTCCAGAATGGGGGCAAGGGTGTATCTGACTGCCCGCCACCAACCTTCTCCCTGTAGAAAGAGGTGATCCAGGCCCTGCCTAAGCTCATCAAACTCAACCCCATCGTGGTAAAGGAGGTCTTCAACCGCCTGCTGGGCACCCAGCACGGTAGGTGGTATACCCCTCCCCACCAGGAGGCCCCTCGGGGTGGGCAAGAGGGGAGGGGCAGAGTGCTGGGGGGTTGTGGGCACCGCCTTCAGGGAGAGTGGGGCTCATCCTGCTCCCAGGAGACCAGCCAGTCCTGATGTCACAGGACCCAGAGCTCCCACGCCACCCTCCTGGAATGTTTGGAGAATGGTTTCCTCCACAGCAGGAGCACGCCTGTGGAGCTAGGGCTGACTCACCAGCAGTGTCTTTCCTGCGGGAATCCAGCTGCTCTTCAGCCTCAGGCAGCTTCAAAAAGAAACAAAAGCAAAATTACACCTTAGAAAAATGATGGGGTAATATAGAATGGATTTCTGGGCTCTCACCCCAGGGCCAGAGCTAGGGAAGGAGCAGAGAGTGTCTGTCTGCTCATACTGAGCCAAGGGGTGAAATGAAGGGTCTGGGCTGGCAGAACAGCAGCAGCAGAGGCCCCCTGCCTCCTGCCACTCCTCTGGGCCCCGCACCGCAGAAGGCTCCGGCCACTCTTTGCAAGTCCTGCTCCATTCTGGCCCCATTCTGCCCTGTCCTGCAAATGCCCATGGGCTACCAGGCCATGAGCTGGTCCTAGTTCTGCCCTCGAGGGTGCACACACAGCCCAATGGGGGGAGAACCAGCCGCACCTGCTCCACTGAAGGCAGAACCCAGGATGGGAGAGGAGCCACGGACCCGATGGAGACCTAGGGCTGCTGCTTCATTCAGTGCTGTGTTGTGTTGTCAGTTGCTTCCCCTGCTATAGCCCTCTGCAGCCCCTCAAAGCAGAGTACCCTCGTCTTCATTCGCAGTTCCCCCAGTCTGGGGAAATCAGGCCCATCTCTTCACTTAGGCCACCATACTGTCGCCCCCTCCCATCCCATTCCTGCCCACTGCAGGCGAAGGAAACTCAGCCTTGTCCCCCCTCAACCCTGGGGAGCTCCTGATTGCATTACACAACATCGACTCGGTGAAGTGCGACATGAAGTCCATCATCAAAGGTGAGGTTGCTCCCTGTCCCCTTCAGTGTCCGGGCCCTGGGCACCCACAGCCTTCTGCTGGGGTCTGCCAAGCTGCAGATTGTGCCATCTCCACCCTCTGGAGACCCACCTTCACTTTTTTTTTTTTTGAGTTGGAGTCTCACTATGTCGCCCAGACTGGAGTGCAGTGGCCGCTCCCGGCCACCGCAGCCTCGACCTGCTGGGCTCCAGCGATCCTTCCAAGTAGCTGGAATTACAGGCGCGTGCTACCACCACCCGACTGATTTTTTTATTTATTGTAGAGATGAGGTCTTACTGCCCAGGAGGGTCTTGAACCCGCGGGCTCAGACAATCCACTCACCTAGCCTCCCAAAGGCGCAGGATTACAGGCTGAGCCACCGAGCCTGGCTCACCCTCACTTCTTGCATTCCTCCTCCTCCTCCGTTTTCTCCTCCCTTCTTTCCTGTCAGGTCTTACACTTTATAACCCTTCTTTTTCTGCCTCTGGCTAAGGCACTGATGAACCTACTGTGTGCTGGCACAGAGTGGTCCTAAGGAAGGGGAGAGCCCTAACGCTGAGGTGTAGAAGGAAGCAGAGCCCACAGTGAGCAATGGCCAGAGGACAGCAGCAGAGCAGAGTACATAATCCAGGGCACCTGCTGGACCCAGGGTAGATGCCAGACCTGAGTCAGGCGGAAAGCTTGCCTCCATGGTGGGGGTTGGTGACACATTGGTCAGCTTGAGCTCAGGATGATCACCACTTGCTGAACACTCACTTTGAGCTGGCTCTCCCTGAATGCCTGCGTGCCTGCTCCTGCGGGTCCTCCTCACATATCACTTGGTAAGTATGCGGGTTTCCGTTCTGTAGACCAGGAAGTGCAGGTTCCAGAGAGCTCAAGTAATGTGCTCAGGACCACACGGAGGCTAAGTGGTATAGTGGAGAAAACAGTCTGAAGTGAGACAACCCAGTTGGAATCTCAGCTCTGCTGGTTCCCTGGTCTGAGGACTGCCTTCCCGGAGCTCTCCCTTCCACTCCCTCTCTGAGAGAAGTTTCTAGCTCAGGATCCACCCTGCCCCATAGAGGTAGGGGCCTTGACTATCCCATGTCTACTCAGAAAACAACTGCCAGCCAGGCTCGGTGGCTCAGCCTGTAATCCCGCACTTTGAGAGGCCAAGGTGAGTGAATTGCCTGAGCCCACAGATTCAAGACCTCATCTTTACAATAAACCAAAAAAATTAGAAGGGTGTGGTAGCACGCACCTGTAGTTCCAGTTACTTGGAAGGCTCAGGTGGAAGGATCGCCGGAGCCCAGCAGGTCCAGGCTGCAGTGGCTGGGAGCGGCCACTGTACTCCAGTCTGGGCGACTGAGTGAGACTCCAACTCAAAAAAAAAAGAAAACAGCTGTCCTTGATTCCTCACTTTCCTTCAGAGTGGGGAAAGGGCTTCCTCTCTGCCTGCTACTTTCCTATTCAGCTTGAAACAGCTTCTTGAGTGACTTATTTCCTGACCTTCCTCAGCAAGTTCTCAGAAACTTAAGGTCAAGAGAAGAGCTTACGAAAATGCAAAACCCAGCCGGGCTTGGTGGCTCAGCCTGTAATCCCGCGCCTTTGGGAGGCTGAGGTGAGTGGATTGCCTGAGCCCACGGGTTCGAGACCCGCCTGGGCAGAGACCTCATCTCTACAATAAATCAACTGCATC